TCTCCATTGTGGGACTCAAAAGGAGATAATATATGTAAAGCACTTTGGAAACTTTAAGGTATTTAGAAATACCAGTTATTATAATAATTATTGTTGTTGTTGTTATTATTATTCCTAATATTCCAGTCCTGTGGTAACTTCCTCTCTTTCCACCTTGGAAGGAAGCTATTCTTCAGCCCTTGATTCTGATTCTGGGAAGTGAGGTTTACATCCATGGCAGAGTGCCTTCATATGCCTGCACCCACCTCTGAGAAGGTCAGCTAAGTTACTGAAGCCAAAGGGGACCCTGAACAGTTGGCCAAAGCTCCTCGGGTAGGGATGACCACAAGAATACATGGACATAAGGTGAGAGCTCAGAAGCCCTCTTGGTTGAGGTGCTGAGTTCAAAGGGCGACAGCACAGTAAGTGAGGAGAATACCAGGCTTGGAGTCAGGACCTGGCTTTTAAGCCTGACTCTGCAACTCCCTGCTCATATTTCCTTGGGCAAACCCCTTCCTGTATGATCTGTAAAAGGAGGGGGTTATGCTGGATCTCTAAGTCGGTGATCCCATGATTCTATGGACTCCAGCTCCTCCATATTGGTCATTTAGTCAAGACGGGACAATTCTGGATTCTAGCTCCTTGGCCAGCCTATCCAAGGGAAAACAAATATCCTTCATGGAGCCTTGCCTCTCTCTTCCTTTTTCTTTCTTCTCTTTTTCTACATTCCACGCTCTTTTCTCCAAGCTCCATGAGTCATTTTTTTTTTTTGCTAACCTCCTGGATCCAAATATTCTTCTATTTCCATTTTCTGGAGGAGTTTTTTCAATTGGCCCACACCTGATGGTTCTTTCCTCTAAGGTTTCATCTAGCAATGTGGAGCAGGGAAAGAAAACTGTACGGAGTCCCACAATCCATGTTCAAATTCTGTGTCTCCCACATCTTCTTCCTAGTCCTGCCCCACCCCATCTGACCTTGGAAAAGTGGCCTCATCACTCTGGGTTCCAGTGTTTTCTATTAAATGGGAGCTCTTGTTTACCTCCAAAATCTGTTTCAGATGTAGATTTATGTTTTGAGGCTCTTGTCTGGTTCTACCTGCTAGCCATGGGAGCATATTCCCGAGAAGACACTGGTGAGGCAGCTAAGTGGTGCAGTCCCTGGAACTCTGGCCACTGAGAAGACTTGCGTTCAGATTTGACCTCAGACACAAGCTGGGTGACCCTGAGCAAGTCACTCAATTTCAACAGAAGTCTCAGTTTATTTATATGTAATATGGTGTGGAGGAAGGGTTGGACTTGATGGTCCTAAGGTCCAATCCAGCTTGACCTCCATGATTCCCAGTTAGAAGTATGGACTAGAAATACAGACTAGATCTACTCCCTGCACCTGGTGGCACTGAAATCTGGTTACTACTCGTTATCAGCTCACTGGTACTTCCCCTCTGCCAGTGCTTTGGGGACTTGACAGGGATGGGTGGACTTCAAAGACACCTTCAGTCCTGTCCCCAACTTCCTTTTGAGGTCTGAAACCCCCAACCTAAGCTTGCTTTTCAAGCTCTGTCTCCGTCACAGCCATACACATCTTTAGCGTTATACCAGACGTGCCGTTTTTCACCTCATCCACCTGGTATTATATAGACACTGCCTGGTTCAAATCGGAATATTCCAGTATCCTGACTTCCTGGATATTTTTTTTTCCCTTAGACCACAAACTTGCCAAGTCAAGTAGAAATTTAACATCTTACTGAATCCTAAGCAACATGCAAAGTGACTCTGCAATTGAATCATAGAACCGACGACTGAGAGCTGGAGGTCCCTTTATCCAACACTTTCTTCCTGACTCCAGAAGACCAGACACTTAGAAACCAGTATTTATTTCCAGTGTTTGTGATGAGAGATCTCCTGGGAAAGTCTGACCTGCCCTGGCAAGCACTTGGCTTGTGGTAGGATGACCTATGTTTCATCTGAGTGTCAGGGAGGAGTGTCCCTTCTCCTTGGCCAGCTGCCAAGCTCCATATTCCTCCCAGTTCCTCCCCACCTCCCGAAGACATGGATGATCCCCAGAGACCCACCCTGAAGAAGCTCTGGGGCCCAGATTTTCACCCAGGATTCTAAAGGTGTGTCCTGTCTTCTGGGCAGAGGTGTTTCAGCTCTGGGCATCCAGGAAAGGATGAGTTACAGGAAACAGTAAAAAGACATAACGAAGCATTTAGCTATACCACCACCACCAAAAAAAAAAGGCATAAAAAATGGGTGTGGTGGACACATCTGGTTTTGATCCTGGCTGCTCTAGAAAGAAGGGAGCCAAAGTCATTTCAGTAAGCAGAGAGGGCAAAGCTCATGTGAGTAAACCGTGTCTACAGCTGTTGCCTAATATGGACTTTCCCACACTCTTCCTGACACTCTGTCTCCTGGACAGAGGGCAGGAATTCTCAGTGATGGGCCCAGGAATCCTTCAGTGGGAGATGGCTCTCCATGCATTTGGTGTTTGAAGTTTGGAAGGTCCCACAGGAAGAAAGACCAGGGGCTTTTTCTGAGTGGGCTGAGGTCTTGGCAAATACTGCCATGGTCAGCTCCACATTGGGAAGTAGGAGGAGGCCTGCCTCCATGCCAGGCTGGCCAGGGGAACATGATGTCACTTTGGCCCAGTGTGATTTCTTCAAGGCTAGTACAGTATGTGGTATTCCCAGAAGGTCTCCTATGTAAGCACTAGCTAGGCCTGCCTCAGATGTGATGTAGCCCATTCAGGGAGGAATGGCCTGCCTACAGGGAAAAGATCACTGCTTCTGCAGTCAGAGAACCTACCTATGACACACTACCTGTGTGTTGTTGGCCATTGTCCCTATCTATCTATCTATCTATCTATCTATCTATCTATCTATCTATCTATCTATCTACCTGTCTGTCTGCTTGTCTACCCATCTGTCTAACCATCTGTCTTTCTCTCTACCAATTTAGCTACCTATCTACCTGTCTATCCATGTGTCCATCCACTTGTGTATCTACTACCTGTTTATTTCTTTCTATCTATTATCTAGCTACTAGTCTATCTATCTGCCTGTGGGCCTGGAGTCAAGAAGACCTGAGTTCAAATCCAGCAAGTCACTTAACCCTGTTTACCTCAGTTTCCTCATCTGTAAAGTGAGTTGGAAAAGGAAATGGCAAAGCACTCCACTATCTCTGCTAAGAAAACCCCAAATAGGGTCATGAAGAGTCAGACATGGCTAAACAACAATACCTATTCATCTGTCTATCTATCTACTTTATATCTATCTATCTATCTAATCTGTCTGTTAGGGGAGTATTGTTGGAGCAAATTAATCAAATTACCCACATTCCACCCAAAGTTAAGTGATGGAAAACACTATGCCCTGGTGCTTCTTTATAAGCCCCGTGCTTGGCCCATAGTAAGTGCTTAATAAATGCTAATTGGCTGACAGACTAACTTACCTGTACCTTTGTAGTAGAACTTTAACTCTTTGAGTGTAAGGACTTTCATTTTTGCCTTTGTATCCCCAGCACAAAGCCATTTGTCTAGAACACAATAAGAGCATGCTAAATGCTTATTGAATTTCAGTGAAGAGATCACCTATTCACGCGGTCTGGTGTATTAGATTTTGCGTTATAGTTGGAAGGGACCGCAGAGGTCACCTGATCCAACCCCTTCATTTTGTAAATGAGGTGACTGAGATCCAGAGAGAGACATTCACAAGGTCACATGGAGGCAGGATTCAAGCTCAGATCCTCTGGCTTCCTAGTCCGTACTCGTTGCTTCCACTGCACTGTCCAATATAGGAAATGTTTCTCAGATAGAACTCTCCAGCCTCATCTCCCTGGTTCTCTTTCCCAGCCTCTACTTTTTATATTTCAGGGTCAGTCTGTTGGAGGAATCTTTAGCATCTGGGCCTCTGACCCTTGTGGGAGGGTTGGCGCCCAACTTACAAAACAACAAAGGGGAGTGACTGCAGGCAATTTAATTAACCTCTCAATATCAGTTTCCTCATCTGTAAAATGGGGATAATAATGGCACCTGTCTTATAGGGTTGTTAATGAAGCTTAGATATAAATAACATTTAAAATGCTTTATAAGCCTTAAGGTGCCATATGAATGTGGCTTGTTGTTATGATTATCACTATCTTCTGGCCTTTCATATGTGAAAAGAGGATATTATTATCTTTCCTGCCCAAGAACAGGCTTTTGGACCAGATCAGCTAAGGGGTGCCAGAGTGCACAGAGCCCAGTCTCTGGAGTCAGTAAAACCCGAGTTCAAATAAGGCCTCAGACACTTATTAGCTGCCTGATGCTGGGCAGGTCTCTAACCTCTGTTTGTCTCTGTTTCTTCATCTATAAAATGGGGATAATAATAGCACCTACCTCTGAGGGTTATTGTGAGGATCAAATGAGATAATGTTTGTAAAGTGCTTAGCACAGTGCCTGTCACACAGCGGCTGCTTAATAAATGCTTGTTTCCTTTCTTCTTGAGGTCCCCTCCAGCTCTAGGATTCTGGAATTCTTTCCAATCCACTCATTTTACAATTGTATTTTCTAATATTTGCTCACCAGCAGCAATACTACTAGTGAAACAGGGTTAGAATCTTATATATTCCCTGCCATGGGTGGGTCTTTCTAATTTACTTTTCAAATGAAAATATGATTTGCTTCCAAGTACAACTTTTTTTTAATCCACTAAACTGGTCTCCCTGCCTCGTGTCTTCCCCTTCTGAGTCACCCTCTGAGCAGCTGCCAAAGTCGTATTTCTAAAGCCATCTGAGCATGTCACTCCCCCACTAAATCAACATCCGTGGCTCCCCATTACCTCCAGAATCAATACACACCCTTTTGTCTGACATTTGAAGTCCTTCACAAATTGGCTCCAATAAACATTTTTTGGTTTTTTTATACAGGGTCTTCCAAAACATTTTAGGCTTTATTAGTTTAAAACTGGCTTTCATGTTGTTATTCCTCACATGCCTGCCATTTCTATGCTCCCATGCTTGGAACACCCTCATGCTCCTTTCCTGAATACTCCCAGTCACTGGAGTTCCTTCCCAAATGACCTCGTATTTATTTTGTGCATATAGTTTGTCTACTTCTTTGTTGACATCTGTAATTTGGTGAGGACCTCTCTCCAGTCCACCCTGGCTAGACTGGTTTGGGACCTCTGGCTGCAAGGCCATTTGCCCCAGAGAAGCCATCCCAGATCAGCAGAGCCTGCTGGAACCTGCCTTCCACTGATGAAGCCTTGGAGGGACCAAGGTCACTGCCACACTATGACAAGGCACTGAAAGACTGCGGAGGAGAAAGGGAGACAGGACTTTTGCAAACCATAGCAACACAGTAAGTAATAGCATCTCAGGCAATACTGGTTTGATTAGCCAAGTGAAAGGAGGAATTCATTGTTCTGCAGGAATATTTACAGTCTACAGGAGAAAATGAGAGAAGTTGGGAAAAGGTAAGAATTTACAATGCCCAGACAAACACAATTGTCCTTACAAATAGGTATGGGAGGAAAGTGGAAGGAGCTGAGTGGATTTCCAGTGAGTTTGTTCTAAAAACAAGCCTGTGGGGAAAAGACACAGACCTTTTTCTAACCAATGATCAATATTCCTAAGCATACTAGGGTAGAGCAATGAAACACCTGAGTTCAAAACCTGCCTCAGACATGTGCTAGCCGAGTGTTTGAGATCCGGGTTAGTTACTTGACTCTGAAATTGGGGCACCTGCCTCCCAGAGCCGGGGCCATGAAACTGCAGCTCTGGGGAGTGTGGGGCTGCATTGGCTGGTGGACTGTGTTTGATAGCTCCGGCAGTAAGGATCAAGTGCTGTCTGTACGAAAAATGTCTGGCCAACTTGAAAGTGCTACAGAGTATATAAATGCTAGCTACTATTAATAGTAACAGTATCACTTGGAGCTGGAAGGGTTCTTCAAGTCCTAACTCCCTCCCCCAGTAACTTCCCTTCCATGTTTCTGTTTCTCCTGGGTGTTGGAACGAATGATATCTAGGATTCCTTCCAAGGAACTCGAGTACAAATTTGCATAAGAGCTGAACCTCTTCTTTTTTTCAAGGAGGAAAAGTGTCTTTGGTCTCACCAAGCCCTAAGGGAGGGTGAGAAGAAGAGCCTAAAATCACTTCCTCCTCTTCCTCTTCCTCCTCCTCCTCCTCCTCCTTAAGCCGCATGGTCCCAAGAAGTGGGCTTGGGGTATTGTTCCATTTCATTTGTCCTTTTCAGTTCTAGGTGCATGGAGTGGAGTCCCTGACCCAGTCACTCAAGCCATGGGGACCTTGGAGCCCATGACTCTAAGACGATCATAGCAAGCCCAGCAGGGCAGCTTCCAGAAGTCAGTGTCCTGGGATACTAGCTGGGCAAAGAAAAGGGCCTTTTATTTTGAATTTAGTGGGTGTAGGAATTGAGCTAAGCTGCGCGCCTACTTCCTCTCCCCTTCTGAGAGACTGAGATGATATAAAGAGAATAATGCTCCCAAAGCACTAGGGGAAATGTTCGTATATTTGTTCATGCTGTCTAGCTTTGAAATAAATATTTCTCTGTAAAAGTCACTCTGACTGTTAAGGGACGCTTGGACTTCTAAGATGGGGGGGGAGGATGAGAAGGGGGAGGGGAAACATAATCAGTGGAGGATCAGGGCAATGTTAGAGAACAGAGACTCTCCCAACCCCCTCAGGATACTGGAAAACCTTGGGTGAGGACTTCTATGTGACCTTTAGGGAGTGGGGCCAGAGGCCACACCTTAGAGGCAACCAGGTCCAGCCATTCATTTTACAAATGAGGAAAATGAGGCCCACAGAGGCATAGTGACATGCCCAGGTATAAGGAGCAGAGCTGAGATTTGAGCTCGGGTCTTCCTACTCCAAACTCAGCAGTCTTTTCTGGCACGATACTGCAAGCAGGTACCAAGTAGACACACGTGCGCTGAGACAGGTGGTATTTGCAGCATTTATGCCTCATTCTGTCTAGCTATACAGTCCCTCCAGGGGCAGGCAAGAATCCCTCTGGTCCCAAAGCTTTGCAGGGACACAGCTGTGGATGCCCAGACCTGACACTGCTCAGGATGCAGAGGGGAGATCCCTGGGGGCTTGTGACAATGACCTTCAGAGCCATCACAGGTCATTTATCTAATGGCAGAAGCCCCGAGGCAGACAGAGACATGAGAAAGTGAAAATGCTCAGAAACAGAAAATCATACTTAAAAAAAAAGAGACCCCATGGCTGCTTGCCTTGGAAGCTGGGCTGCTGCATCATGGCAGGAAACAGCAGTCTGAGTGATGCCTAAGTGGCTGTATAGACCAGCCAGACAGTCCCCACAAGAGCCCCCCCTCCCCAGATGGTTCCCCTTCTCTCACCCCCCAAACTGGGGTTAGAAAAGACTGAGTTTTGCAGCAGGAACTGAGGCATTACCTGAATAACCTGTGGACGATCTGTGGGTAAATTTCTTTTTAAATTTTAAAAAACTATCAAGCATTCCCTTACTTCTTTGCCTACCCCACTCACTGAGAAATAAAGATAGAAGGAAAGAAACAAAGGAGTCCTGGTATTACATTTCCATATTGGTCATGTCCAGAACCATTGCTACCTGTATGTTGTGTGGCTCTGGTCAAATAGGGGTTTTCATTTCACCCATTTATGTACTGGCAGGCAAGAACAGATCAGTTATGGGCAGCCGCCCTTAGAAGAGCACCTGCATATGCCTATCATTTGCCCAACTGGGTGAACAGTCCTTCCAATCCAATCCAATAAACATTTATTAAGCACCTACTGTGTGCCAGGTACTATGCCAAGCACTGGGGATTAATTAATAAATTAATTAAAAAGAAAGACAGTCCCTGCTCTCGAGCAGCTTACACTCTTAACAAAGAGGCAGCACACAAGGCAGCAGTGGGAGAGGGACACCCAGGGGTACCTGGCATGAGACCATCTTGTTTAGTGGAAGGTCTAGGCAGGGCAGCAGATACAGAGCTGAGGGATCTTCCAGTCTAGTTCCTGCCTCTAAAGGGATTGGGAGGAATTTGGTTTTCCACAATCCAGCTATCCAAACAGAAGAGAGAAGAGGCTGAGGGAAAGGGAATCAATCAAGGCTTGAGTTAGCAGCATAGTGCTAAGTTTAGATGGGATGAGCTTATCTTAGAAGAGGTATCTTGTTCCCTCAAGTTGAAACCAGGCAGAGCAGCAGATGCAAAGTGGAGGGCTTCCAAGTCTGGCAATTCTTCCTGGTCTGGAGGTTGAACAAAGGTCCAGGTTGGTATATGGCCTCTCTTATCCCTCCTACCCAGACTGTTGACTAAGCAACTGTTATGCTGTCATCAATCAATCAATCAATATTTATTAAGCACTTACTAGTTAGTCCTCTATGCCCCTCTGTTCTTCCTTTCTGGTGCCAAACTCTTCGATACTCCAATACCTGTGTCATCTCCTTGGGCTATGGATTGCTTCCAACCTCTTGATGTCATCTCATCCTGAGAAGGCTCTTGTCCATATTCTCCCATAAATTGTTCAAAGAAGGTTCACTCCAATGGACTCTCAACTTGAGTCAATAGATACCCCCCAAGGGATCTATGGATTTTAAATTTTTTAAAAATGATCAAATATTTTACTTCTCTCATTTCCCCCACCCACTGAAAAATAAGAAAGAAGGAGAGAGAGAGAGAGAGAGAGAGAGAGAGAGAGAGAGAGAGAGAGAGAGAGAGACAGAGAGACAGAGAGAGACAGAGAGAGATTGAAAGTCTCTGTATTACATTTCCATATCGGTCATGTCCAGAACTACTGCTACCTTTATGCTCTGGTCAAGTAACTTAACCCTTCTGAGTTTCCCCTTTCTCTTTATGGAAAACCAGGACAAGGACCAAATCCTTTGAGTTCCTCCATTTCCTCTCCCTTTCCTTTCTTCAGGCTGTTGGGGTTATGTAGCATAAATGACAATACTCCAAATCCCTCCAGTAAGTGGTCAGATCTCATGGAACTGAGCAGGATACATTCTTGGCAAAAATTTAAAGTGGTCTAAGTTTATTTTCAACCTCCAGCTCCCTTTTCCACTGCTTCACTTTTTTTTTTGCCTGTTCTGTTCCTTTCTGCTTTCTTCTGGAGCCCCCTGACCATAAGCCTGCCCATCCTAACTGAGTACCTTTGGAGTATGCCCCTCCCTGCCCTAGCACTCATGGCTTATTATTGTTATCCTTGCTGCATTGAAACTAACAAGAAACTAAAGCAGATGCCCATCAATTGGGGAGGGGCTGAACAAATTACACTATAGCAATCTGATCCATTACTATTGTGCTGTAAGGAATGATGAAGGGGATGATTTCAGAGAAACCTGGGGAAACTTTTATGAAATGATGGAAAGTGAAATGAGAAAAACCAAGAAAACAGTTGATACAACGATGACAATATCGTAAAGACAACATTGAAAGATTTAAGAACTTTGAGCAACACAGTTGTCACTAATTCCAGAAGACTCATGATGCAACATGCTACTCATCTCCTGGCAGAGATGTGATGGATTCAGGGTATAGAAGGAGACATACATTTTGGGGGAAATGGCCAATATGGGAATTTGCTTTGCATGTTTGTTACAAGGGTTTGGTTTTGTTTCCACCAGTCTGGAGAGAATGGTGGGAAGAAAAATAGATTTTTGTTAGTTGAAAAAAAAATTAAATGAAATCAAAATAAATAAGATGCAATATCGGGGGGGTACTTTGTAAGGTGGAAAATTACTGCCCCTTTTGAATCTACAGTTATGCCCATCTTTGGACAACATGCAAGAATGTTAATACAAGCTTTTGGCATTGTGAGAAGGATATTTCTAGTTTACTCTAAATCTACTTTTCACCAATATAAGCCATGAGATTATAAAATAAACCCTACCATTTAAATCTAGAAAAGAAAGAGAGAAATGTACCTGTCATATTTCATCATTCCCTCCAGGCCAAAGGTATCACTTGGTAAATTACTGCATTCTGGAGGCTAGAAGAGAGAACCCCAGGAAGGATGGGTGCCTTTCATCTGGAGCTAACACCGCTCTTGTAATCAGGACACCCAAAAAGCACGGGATTTGCACTTGAGAACTCAGTTTGAATCCTCCTAGCTGTATGACCTCAGGTACCTGCCTCAACTTCTCTAAGCTTGAGTCTTCTCATCTCTAAAAGAAGCTGTGGGGACAATTACACTTTCTCGTTGTGGAGAAAGCATTTTAGAAACTTCATAGCATTATTGAAAGTTGAGGTGTTATCATTCTCATACTCAACAAATGGTGGGAATTCCAGGTGAGTTAAGAGGGAAAGGCAGCATGGTCCCTTGAGATATCTAACCAAGATTGATTTGTGGGGGCCCATGACATCCTGCCCTATTCTTTGAATCTCCTGAAAAATAGGTTCTCAATCTGAGATGTGGGGAAATCTTTTTCTCTTCCTGGGAACATGATGCCCTTTCACTTAATTGTGATTACCAGAGAGCAGAAGAGGTTGTTTTGGGGGCAGGGAAGGCATATGTATATGTATGTGTTGTATTTACTATGCATTTTTTTCCTTCTGGAATACTTCAGCTTGCCTAACTCCTGGGTAAATTTTAATCCACTCTAGCCCAGAACTCCAGACAAAAGGGTGAAGTCCAAAAAGAAGAGAGGGCTTGTCATTGAACTCCCACAGCCTCTAATGGGTAAGAGGGTTGGCATCCACTGAGGGGGGCTATTTACCTTTGCAGGGAAGAAACAAGATAGAGGAAAAGAGAGGACAAATGTTTCCCTTCAGCAGCCTCAAAGTCACAGCAGGAGATGTGCCCAGAAGTATGGCTGAGGGATGGACATGCAATCAGCATTACTGTTGATGCTATACTTGGAGGCAGAGAGAACGGGGATCCCTCCACACTCTGAGATCTCCTCTTGGCAGTCTGTGAAATATCATTACTCCTCAAAATTCAATTGCTCTTCATTAGCAGAAGCACATTTCAGAGTCTTTCATCTTGCCCTGCCTGTCTCTGTCCCATTTCCACATACCCCATAGCAGCTGTGTATGTATGAATGTATGGCTGTGATTATGTGTGTGTGTGTGTGTGTGTGTGTCTCCTGCCCAGCGATGGGCTAAGATGTTTCAAGGATGTGGACACTTAAACTTTCCTCATAGCTGGTACTCTGTTTGTTGTTGTTTTAAGTATAATGCCATAAAACAAACAAACAAACAAACAAAACAAAACCCAGCCAAACAAAAACCATGGTTTGTTTTGATTTGGACCTGTGACTTCATTATATGGGGAACTCCTGGCATGGAAAACTCCTCCATCCATGCAAAATGAACAATTGCTTTGCCAAATTATCATCCTAGAGAGTGGTCTGAGAAGGTAAGTTGTTCACCTGTTGGATAGCTAGCTTGAGATGCTGGATTTGGAGCTACGTCGTTCTGACTCCCAAGCCAGCAGCCCTCCAGCCTCCATTTCATGCTTGAAAAGCATTTGATGTTTCTTTGTTTAAAAAGGAGGGGTGTGTGTGAAGGTGTTGCCTGAGCAGTGCAAGTTGTGATCCTTTCTATCAAGCTATATGGCTGCGAGTAGGGCCAAATGAAAGGTGGAGTGGCTGGGCTAATAGAAACAGTACAAAGTTGAGACAAAGTGATTTGAAGAGAGAGAAGGCTAATAGCAAGATAATGACCTGTATTTAGGACATGTGGAGTGTGAGGGGCTTTCAAGCCATTTGAAATGTGGTTCTGGAGCTCCAAAGGGAGGGCCAGAGTTTGGGGAGTCTGCTGTCCATGGGGGAAAAGTAAGTCCAGAGTCAATGAGAGAGCATGACAGAGATGGAAAGATAGGAAGCTGTGGATGAAGAGGACTTTCAGAGTTCTAAGTTTTGGTGGTGACCTCATTGTACCGCTGATGTGGAATGGAGGAAGTGAGGGGAAAAGAGAGATGTAGGGTCAGCTTGTCAGGGTTCTCGGGCTCGTTTTCCTGTTTACCACATCCATGCTTCAAAGTGAAACCTGAGGTTTCTTGTTGTGATTCTGGTGAGGAGAGCAGCAGTTTCTGCCTCAGTCAATTCATCTGCATTTTCACCTCATGTGGCATGCTTCTGTAATGGCCAACCCTGCTAGCCAGTACATATCTGCATCTCAACTCATCTCACAAAACTCCATTTCAAAATGGCTCAAAGGCCTTCATTTGCAAATCAGCAACAATTAATCAACAGACATTTATTAAGGACCCACTATATTCCAGGTGCTGGGAATACAAAACCGACAATCAGATAGTCCTCGGGCTGGGGTTGCAAGGAGACATTAACATATAAGCATATATAACATATATAACATATAATAATAATAGCGTCTATATAGTCTTTAAATTTTTACAAAGCACATTACATATGCTACTTCCTTCAATCTCACAACAGCCTGGTTGTTGTACACAGCCATTTTACAGATGGGGAAACTGAGGAAAGCAAAGATGAAGTGACTTGCCCAGGGTCACGTGGCTAACAAGCATTTGAGGCAAGATTTGAACTGAGGTCTGCCTGTCTCGGGTCCTTTGAGCACTCTACCCACAGCTACCTCTAATAAAAGCTGTAAGATAATAGAGGACCGGGGTGGGGTGGGGACGGAAGGATCTAGCATCTGGCAGGATAAGGAATCAGATTTGAAACCCACATGGACAATGCTCCAGTTGGAACATTTATTTATATCTCTGTAAGTTTCACCATTTCAAAGGTTTAAGTAGTCTATTAAAAAAATGTCCTGAATTGTGTTTCGAGGGGCAAACTAGAACCAGTTTACCAAGGGGCCTTGGTTTTGACATGAAGACAAATATTTTCCCCGATGCCATATTTTACAGAGGAATAATTCATTCAAAGCAGCCTCCAAGGGCAGGAAGTCTCCAGGCAGCAAGAAGGAGCCTGGCCTCGCTTTCTTCATTTCTTTCAGAGCCGCGCTTCCCTTCAGAGACCAGGTGTAATTATTCTCTTTATGAGTCAGCCCCGCAGCTCAGCACCTGTTACCGAATTCAAGTCCCTTCGACGCAGCTCGGGGCTCTTTGTCTCCTCCGCAGCGATGCTGTTTGCTCATTTGCTAGAATTGACTGTGTGGGGCACTTGTGAACCATAGTGATAATGAAAGAGAGAAGGAATGCAGACATTTCCAAATGTCGACACATAATGATGAGACCGGGAGGCTGATGTCAAACCCTGATTTTTCCCCTTTTAAATTGGCCGCAGATTAATAAAGGATAGTCTTGAGCTCTGGGGCATAATCAAGCAGCAGATGTGGGGAGCTGCAGTCTTGGGCTCCTTTGAAGAGAGTCTTCTTATGGTGCTTCAGGCATTAGGTATAGCATTCAAACTCGCTGCTTACTGCTGGAAAGGATTCAATGCTCCCTGAATGCATCATTGATGCAAAGATTAAAGAATCATTTTAAATAAATAGGACTTGATTATGTAACATAAAAAGTCATCCAGCTGTGGCATGCTGGGAGGGAAGGTCTTTACAAGACCCCATTAATGTCTAGTTGTGTCGGCCTAGTAAAGTCAGTTAATGGCTAAGGGGTATGGAAGACAGACAAATGGGTCCTTGAGCCCTTTCAGCAGATGACAGGGGTGTGGGGAGGTTGGGCCAGCCCATGGGAGGGCTGCTTAACTTTGCCTTGATCACCTGAGGCCTGATGGAACAGCTAGTGGGGCACCATGGGGCACAAAGAGCAGGGCTTGGAGTGAGTTCAAATCCAGCTTCAGACTCTTACTAGCTGGGTGACTCTGGGCAAATCACAGCACTCCTGTTTCCTCATCTATAAAATGGGAATCAGAATAGCATCTCCCTCCCAGGACTGTGATAAGGATCAAATGAGATAATAATCGTAAAGTGCTTAGCATAGTGCCGGGCACATTGGTTGTACTTTATAAATGTTAGCAAAGGATCTCTGGAGTTAGGCCACCCTTTGAACTGCACAGCCTACTTCTCGGCACCCAGCACTTCACAGGTGTTTGAGAAATATTTTTGAACGATTAAACACAGGAGAAATATGTACTTTACTGAAATAGCCATCCTGAGGGTAAAGAAATGGGTAATCCAATGCTATTCGATGGAATAAACAAGTAAGCTCCTACAAGAACACAGTAGTAAATCTGAGTTGCATAATCCCCAGGTTGAATGCAGCTCCAGCCACTTCAGGCTCTTTCTGACTGGGCATGCTGGTGCCAAGGGGGCAAACAGATGGGGTAAGTGGGTCTTACCCTTTACCTGTGAAAACAATGGCAGAAGCATGGAAGAATCGATAACTCAAAAGCTGGGAAGCAGTTGTCCTAATCAATGTCCCAGTAACTGCTTTTCAGGTTAAAAATAGTTCAAACTTCCCTTTCCCTAAATTATTTTTTAAATGGGTGTTGGTTATTTAATGGATTGTGTGAATGAGGCCATGAACACTTTCTGAATCCAAATGATTCCCTACTCACCGGTTCTACATATCCCATTTCTTTCACCAAGAAGTTCTCTCTACTCAATACCTTTGCATAAAATTTGAGAGCCACCCAAGACTTTCAGGAATCCACAGCAACTGGAATTCATTTGACCCCACAAAATAGATTCTGTATCAGAGACAGAGCTATGAGAGACTTCAGAATTCATAGAGTCCATCCTGCTCATTTCATAGATGGGGAAACTGAGGCCCAGAGTACGTAAGTGCCCAGTGACATGAAGGCAGTAAGTTACAGAGTCCAGGGCTGAATCTAGGCCCTCAGGCTTCAAATATAGTGGGTTTTCCATGGCAGTGGTTTGAATGTGAGTGAGTCTGTGGGGAACTCATTGACTAGTCTACTTCTTTTCTTTGTGATCAACTATTTTGCCTCAAATTAAAGATTATTCTTCCCTCCTCCACAGAGAGAATTCAGTTTTCAATCAGATGTCAGCATCAGAGGCCAAAGTGAATACAAAAGAAGGATGCAGAGGAGGAAAGAAACAGGAAAGGCGAAGCAAATGAGGTCCAGAGGCCCAGCAACCAGAAGAATTTTGAACTCAGGCCACCACACCCGTTCTGATGGCGCCCCTCCTCCCAGCCTCTCTTTTTATTGGCCTGCCCCTTTCTCCAGGGCTGGAAGGGAAAGTGATCTCCCCAGGAAATAAGCCCATAGAGCTGTAAAATTCTATGCCCGCTATTACATGAGTGACCTATGAGCAAGACTAGTGGCCTCCTAAGCCGGAGCCCCCACATGCCTCCCCTCTGCTCCTTTCCTTCTAGAATTTTCTTGTCCTGCCTCATCATTTAGTTTAAAAAAATGACAAAAAAAGGGATTAATAGTAGTTAAAGATATGCTTGTGCTTATTGGCTGCCACCCTTCTACCTTACACATGCACATACACACACATACACATAAACCCTGCCTAGTTTTAAGATTGAATATTTTAGAAAAAAAATAGAATAAAAAATAATCCACCTGAGCATGGTAAGTGCAGAGAGGAGGGAAGTCTGCACTACCCAAGAGTCACCTTGATTCCAAAACACAGATCCCTATAAGGAGGCTTTCTCAGGAAGAAAGTCAAATGTTGTTAAGGATACTTCAAACTGCACAAGATATAATGAAAAATAAAACTGGTCTTTTTCTCCCGGTCAAAAAGAGGATAAAACTAAATCATTGATTCAGAGCTCAAAGGGACCTGAGAAGTCGCTGAGCCCAACCCCTTCATTTTACAGAAGGGGAAATTGAGCTCCAGAGGAGTTAAAGGATTTATTAAGTTCATCCAGCTCTTAAGTATGTGAGACAGGATTTGAACTTAGGGTATTCCTACTCCAAGGCCAGATCTGTGTCTACTCCACATTGCTGATATGTGGGATATGAAAGGAGGTGACAATGATGTACACGCTAGAAGACAGAGCTGTGAACAGTCATTTAATTTCAAGCTTAATTCCATCTGTAAAAGATAATTCAACATGTCAGGATTTGGGTTTGGTTTTGCTGTTTTGTTTTCATTGATTTTAGAGCTTAATAAAAAGGTGCTTAATATTTACTGGAGTGGAGATTTCTTTTTATGTTCAAAGTACACACTTATTTAGAGATTCAAGGCACAAAATTCGCATTAGCCTCAGTTTCCATTTTTTTAAAAATTATTCTTATAGCTCAATGAATCTCTGTCCCCAAATATTTCTCATCTCTCCTTCCCCTAATCTCTTTCCGCTAAGCTTTCTGAGTTTTATTTGGATCAAATTTGAGTTTCATCCAAGTCATGTTTTCAAAATGACTAGCCTGCAAAAAACTAACACATCTTTTTGTTTCTGCCTCCATGATATCTTCCCTCTACTGCCATGGCCACTATCATCACCCTAGTTCATGCCCTCATGACTTCTAGCCTGGACTACTCCAGTAGCCTCCTAAATGGCCTCCCCTTTCCAAGTCTCCCCTCACTGCAATCCATCCTCCACCCAGTTGCCAAAGTGATTTTCCTTAAGCATAGCTCTGACAAGTCACTTGTTAAACTCCAAGTGGCTCCCTAAGCCTTGATGATAAAGTATAACCTTTCCCAATCGGCATTTAAAGCTGTTCACAATGTGGCCCAAGCTACTTTTTCCAGCCTTGTTGTATATTCATCCCCTTTCTGCACTCTACAATCCAACCAAACTGGCCAGTCCTCACAAATCGCGCTCCCATTTCCAACCTTGATCCTCCATGCCTGCTCTGGAACGCACTCCTCTTTCCCCTCCGCCTCTTAGAAAGCTCTTGTCTTCTTCGAGGCTCTGCTGAAACACCACCTTGTGGACGAGCCCTCCAGTCCCCAGGAATCGCCTTGTCTTCATTGTGCATAGACTGTGTTTCCTTGTTACTGGACATGTTGCCTGCCCAGCTTGAAAGCAGTTCTTGAAGACAGGGACCGTTCAGTTTGTGCCATCATATCCCCAGTGCCCAGCACGTGGCCCGTGTTTACGTGGCTTGTTGATTGGGTGTTTGATGAAGTATTCATTTACTCGCTATCGTTTCCATAGTACAAGTACTGCTCCTCCTGTAAAAGACTGAATTCAACATGGCGCAGTTTGGACTTGGCTTTGCTGGCTTCTTTTAATTGACGGTAGAGCTTAATAAGAAGGTGCTTAGTGTTATATTCTATAATACATTTTATATGTTTTATTTTATCATATATAAATATATATTTTATACACACAAAGCTATAATGTATTACATTTTGATATACTAATGTATACTATTATTCTATTGTATATGCCATAATTAATATATAATACATACAAATTATGAATCGTAAAAATCACAAATTGAAGAGATACAGATAGATCATACAGAACTGTAACTTTGCATCAAGTCAATGAACACTTTGCAGTGTCTACAATGGGTTTTTCTATCTGAAACGTGGACAGAATCAGGCTGAGTTGTCAGGCATATGAAGCCACATGTTCTCTATGCTCACTCTCTTTTCTTCTGTCCCTACCCCACCCTACCCCCACCCCAGCCCAGGACCCAGGCAAGTAAAAATTAGGAGGAATACTTTTGATGAAAATAACACGGAAATCCATAAAACAGGCTGAGCCTCTCATAGCTAATCAGGAGTTGACGTCCCCAGTTTAGTCAGGATTGGAAAGATTATGGTAGTGAAATGAAATAGAGAATGGCTCAAGGCTCTCCTTATAGAAGGTATAGCTTTTTGCTTTTGTTTTTTTTTGTCGATTTATCGGGTTGTTGTTTTTTTTTTTGCTGTTGTTCAGTCATTTAGTTGTGTCCAAATCTTCTTGACCCCATGGACCATAGCCTGTCAGGCCCTTCTTACATCACCATGATTTGCCCCAGTATCCCTCCTCAGCCCCTCCCAGAAAGCCATTCCATTTATTAAGTAGTATTTTTTAATGACAGGAGGAGGAGGTGGAGGAGGAGGAAGAAGAAAAGCTGTGTAACTAATCACCTTTGGAAAAAGTCTGAGAATGTGTGCCGTGTGCACCACTTGTGGAGCTCCCCCGCCCTGCCAAGGGGTGAGCTCGGGGTGTCTTCTCATGTCTCTTCTTTGGATCCCAGCTTGTTCTTTATAATTTTGCACCATGAACTTGTCATGTCCTTTGGGTTTGTTCTTTCCATTAATGCTGCTGTAATTCCTTGAGCAGATCATATATCGTGACTCTGCTTACTCCGTTCTAAAAGAGTTCACGTCTGTTTTTCCAGCCTTTTCTGTATTCATTACATTTGTCATTTCTTATTGCACAGTAATCCTCTTTAACATTCATGCACCACGATTTGTTTAACCATTCCCCAATCGATGGGCATACAGATGCTATAGTAATAATGTATGTTGACTAATTTCAGAGTAGTTACAAATGAAAAAATGGTAACAAACTTCAAAGTGCAATTCAGAGATGATGCCAACAAGAGTTTTATGATTGGATTAACAGCAAAAGCCCATCCTCTTTTGGTCTAAAAGGGAGGAAGACTTATTCCTCCAGTAATATTATGTCTGGGGTTTAAATGGTGAACCTAAAGTCAGAGGTGTCCCTTTCCTTAAGCCTGGCTCAAATATATTTCTCATTTTTTTCCACCCTGATCTCCCCAACCCCATCCAGAATAAAGACACCCATTTTGCAATGTGACAAGATTCTAATTTAAGCCCTAATGGTACCATTTGAGGGTGTAGCTATATATCATAGAAACAGCCGCCCTGGGCTTCAAAAATGAAAATAAAGATCCTCCTTTAAATCAGTGGAAAGTAATAGTCACTTTAATACTGGTAATGACCTTAATTCTGTAGTAATTTAAGGTTCAGGCTGGAAAATTACAACTGTAGAACTCATTCATTGTGAGGGGACAGAGGAAGTCTCTTTGGAGACAGACAAGATGAATACTAGGGCTGACCCAGCCCATGTGGGAGATGGATGTGTTTATATAGGTACACCTCCTAATGGGACCCAATGTAATGCCAGATGTTGATACTTTCCAGAAAGTACTGAAAATCTTTCACATGAATCTCTCATGCCAAGTTCACGTCCAAAAGCTTTTCAAGATTTCAAATAATGTCTCTTTTCAATTCTTGGATTTCCATTATGTACAATGGAACATACATTGTTATTTTTCAACTGTTAAAAATGACAGAAATAAGTAACCAGAATATGCTAAACCCAAATGTTGATTTTCTTTTGTCAACTTCTAGTTGACAAAGGGAAATGCCTACAATTCTCATCACAAATTCAACATTTTTGTTAATGACATTGATGAGATTTACAAATTTACAGATGATTTGAAGCATGATTGGTAATCAAAACTCTATCCTGCCAGGCTTCACCACTGGGAAAAATTGAAGAAGATGAAATTAACTAGCAATAAATGTAATGTCCTTCATGTGGGTTCCAAAAAGGTAACTTCACAAGCACAGGAGTGACTTGCCCCCGATTTATCAGAAAAGGTCAGGTGGCTTTTAGTCCAAGTTGCCAATGGTGGAATGTGGCAAGCAAAGAGCTAGTGGGATTTGAGGCCACATTTGTAGAAATAGTGTCTAGAATGAGAAAGGGTGAGTTCTGCTCTGGTCAAACCACATCTGGAGGATTGTTTACTGTCGGAGGACGTTGATAAACTGGATTGGGGCAGGATGGTTAAGGGGATCGGAAACCATGTCCCTCAAGGATTATCTGAAGGAAATGGGGAGCCTGGAGCAGAGAAGACTCAGGGTGGAAAGAAGCACGAGAGTTTTCTTCAAGTATTTGAAAGGCTGTCATATGAAATAGGGTATTGGACTATTTCTGCACAGTAGAGGCAATGCCAAAGGCAGATTCTAATTATCTGTGAAGAAAACCTTCTTAATGATTAAGCTGTCCCAAAACAAAATGGGGATTTAGTTTTTGGTGTAGGTGGTGAGTTCTCCCACTCTAAAAGATTCACAATGGACACTGGATGACCATGTGGCAGAGGTCCTGCAGAGGGGATGTCTGGTTTGGTCCAGTTTGGATTTGATGCTGAGGCCACTTCTCCCTCAGAGATGCTAAGCTCTAAAATATTCAGGCTGTAACTTCTTCTGCTACCAGGATGGTATTTGGACAAAGGCCTACTTAAATATTTGTCTTCCTGGGCTAATTGGTAGACAATAAGCAAAATCACTTATTATGCCAAATACAGACTTGAGAATTGCCAATCCTGTTTCCTCTTCTCCTTTCCCCTGACTTAGCCCCGTCCCAGAAGTTCCTAACACCCATGAAATCACAGGTCAAAAAAGCCAAAACAAAACGTTTACAGATCTGCAGAAGATTGAAACCAGGGATCTGTCACAGGCCCAAGGAACTTAACTAACAGACGATACTGGCCAGAGGATTTGTTTTCAATTCACTGAGCTTCCTAGAGATTTATAGCATCACAGTGGACAGGCATAAATATGATATACAAGAGGACAGGAAGTAGGATTTTGAGTTTAGGTCACGTCAAGGGTCCTAGTCATTCATGGCCATCAATATCCTCCATTCAGCTGTTAAATTTATATTCCTAAAGCCTGGGTCTGACCATATCACCCCTTCCCACTCAAAAGCACCTCCAAGATCAAACAGAAACTCTTCTCTTTGGCTTTAAAAGCTCTTTATAACCTGGACCTTCTCTACCTTTCCAATCTTCTTGGAAGAATCTGAAATCCAGCACCACTGGCTTGCTTACTGTTGATTGAACAAGACACTCCATCTCCTGACTTAGGGTGTTCTCACTGCCTGTGCCCCATCCATACTTGGAATTCTCTGCCTCCTC